AGTGAAGAAAGAAACTTGACCCCCTCCTTTACAAAAAAAAAGTTGTATTTAATTTGTGAACTCATTTGACTCACTAAAGCCAATTATACCTTGGTTCCAAATTTCAGTTCACATTGAACTCATGGTTAACCCTGTGAAGTAGACCATCTGTTATGGCTGGTATTGGCAGAGAACTACAGGCTGTTTTCCATGCAGCTTAGACCATCCAGGACAGCTTTGAATTAATTTAAACAAAAGACAATAAGCTCCACAGCAAAATTCAATATATTTAAAATTATTAACTAACTCTCAATTTTCTCCCAAGAAATACATAACAGTTTTCTTTGTCTCACTTTAATGTGACAAAAGAGAGAAAGACATTAAGTTTGTTAGCCCCAGCGTGGTGGCAAATCCATGGGACAGTCACCACTGGGACTTCAGAACCTCCGGATTGTCAGTACAATGCTCCCTCCCCAGCCCATCTTGGCCTTCTGCCTGTGACAAAACTAGCAGATGCTTGAGAAAACGAGCTGAAGGACAGAGGTAACAGCTACATTAATGCTACATGAACAAGGGATTGTGGCAACTCCATTTGATAGTTGTCCTGGGTTTAGCTGGCTCTGTTTTCCACCTTAAAAATTATGATTATGGAATTAGCCTTTCACCCCTGAAAAATGTAGAGTTCAAATGTTAGTTTGGGTCATAAATGAAAATCTGTTTCTTCCATTCCAGCCTAGCACTTATATGTTAGAAAACCGTGACTCAAATTGGCAGAACAGTCCCAGGAGCAAAATAGTAACAGTAGCTTGTATAAAAGTATACATAGAAAGTATGTGTGTGTGTGTGTGTGTGTGTGTGTGTATAGTAAACAAAATACATATATACATATGTATATACGCCTCTTAAGGTCCTTTCCAACCCTAACCATTCTATGATTCTATGATTCTATATATCTACCTACACTAAAGAATAGGAAAGGTGGAATAGGTGATCATGTTTAAAGATAGGTTGGCTTTGAAATGTTGACACTGAATCCAAATCAGATTAAGGTCTAGTTTTAACCCTGCTATAACCCCTTAGAGAAATCTTCACCAAGTGAGAGTTCCCTTTAATCACTAACATTGAAGTATCTGCTTTAAGCTAGTCATCAAAGATCCTCTTCAGTTTCAGCAGGAAGATATGAACAAGGTTATCTACTCCACCTGCCTTTCACAACTATCCAGCGATGACAGTACTTCCTTTGGAAGTAGATATCTCTCTGAGGTTGAGACATACCCAACCTAAATCCCTTCCTGCTCCCCATCTTTGTTTTTCCCAATCTGTTGAAATTGAAGTTTGAAAACCAGGTGACTTTTTTTGACAGTTCGCAGCAAAAGGATCCTGTTATGTACCATGAAAATTCAATGTTACTGAAATACCAAAAAATCATTGAGAATAGAATGACAGATCTCATTTTATGGGCAATTACCAGCAGGAAAAAAATGGTTGGAAAACTATGGGCAAATTAACCCTTCCCACACTAAGGCTTTGGTGTTTACTTAAAAATGTTAACAGTGCATGGGAAAGAGTGAAAACCAGACCAGAAAAAGTTGCTAAATTAATCTTCTGTTCCTATAGATAAGACACTCTTCTTGATCAGAGGAGATACACTTTTCTGTACAGGCTCATGACAGCACTGGACAGCCAAACAGGCTTTCATTTGAGCAGTGGTTGGGCTCAAGTTAACTCAAAACTATAGAGAGCTATTTAAAAACTAAAATCAAAATTGTGTAGGAAATGAAGTGGTATGGAAGTCCAAACTCCAGCCTCTGCCATGGTGCACACTGTGAAAACAGGCACCTGACACTGACAGTTAAAATTAGAAACATGATTTGGAGACTCTACATTTTAGCTCTTAGTCACCAAATTGCTCTTTGGTCTTGTAGAAATATGTGGTCCTTGTAGCAATGTGTGCTGGCATAACAAACAGAGAAGAGACAGAATTTCTTCTTTTGATCTACTGTAATATCCCACATTCAAGAGATTTCACCAATAGGAGCTTCTGTCCTGAAATGTCATTCAAACTCATGAAAACTTTTTACCTGCGACCGATTAAAGATGAGTCCCTTCAGAAAATCAAATCAGTGAAACACAGAAAACAAAGCACATGAATGTATCTGTAGGAAGCATCCATTTGTCTTCAGAATGAAAATTAAATAAAAGAAAAAGTAAGGCAAACAAGAGAGTACAGCCATCGGCAACAGAGCAATGAATGGAATATTTGATTGTTTCACCATCCAGGAATTCCTGGTCTTATTCTACGATACAAATATAGAAAACTTAGATTGCTTTCAAAAAGAAACACAGAACAGTTACTTTTCCTAGAAACAGAATAAAATTTCCCCAAACTTAAATATATAAAGGTCTTAGCAATCCAACTGTGAAGAAAATACCCTTTCTTTGAGGTGGAGTGTTTTCTGCAACAATGAGCTATTTCATATTAACTGTCACAAGCAATAGGCTTAAACATGCATTTTATGTTCACTTAATTTGAAATAAGGCTATTAAAAACCTGAATAAGAACATCTACAGGTTATTTAAAGTTTAACATTTATAACTTACCCTTAAACAGATAACACTAAATAGAAATTCAGACGTACGTTACTGATTCATGGATGAAGAGTGGGAATTCAGATCAGTTGAAGTCCCTGCTCTTTACAGGTTGCTGAGGCATAAGGCTACCATTCTGATCCCTACTTACTTGTTTTCCCATTGACAAATGCCAGTGCAGCCACAAAAGACAATCTGCTTCCAAAGACAGCCCTCCAAATTTGGTCAGCAACACTTACTGTATTGCACATTTTGTAGCAGGCTCACACTTCAGGCCAAATTCAGGCCACAGCTTTCTAATTTTTCTCTAAATCACTTGGCACACTTTTGGGAGCTATAAAACAAAATGAGTGATGGTACGTAACAATTGTGTGTGGCAGAGATAATATATGGTGTTCCTCTTGCGTGGATGAACTGCAAACCTGGAGAATGCCAGGAGCAAAACCTAACTTAAAAAGTCAAATTCATGCTCAGGGACAGTTTAAGCTTTTGACAAACAGTTAAAGACAATAAATCCTGTAGTAATAACAGACAGCAAAATGGTACATTTCTCCTAAAAGCACTTACATAGACTCTAGAAAGATGCCCAGAGAGCCTGAGGCATGAAAATAAATTACAGTATCTATAAGCTTTCCATAGGACAAGAGTAGTACAATAGGACAAGAGTAGTACATAGATAATGGGCAGTGGGGATATCAACTTTCTGAAAAGGAAAATTAGAGCAGGAGTAGATAAAGGGCGACACTGTAATGCAAACACTCTTCTTAAAAGTAGATTATTATTCACTGGAGAAAAATCCTTCTTTGTACTGATGAATAAAGAAAATAGGCATTTCCTTGGATAAACTCCCTTCAAATTTCTGGTGAAAGAAGAAAAATCAACCAACTTTTGCTTCCATCAAGAATAAGCCTATTCTGTCAAGTGTGCAGTTATTACTTTCCTATGGCAGAACTGCCATAATATTGGCAGGAGTTTATTTAGTATTATATTAACTATGTATATTAATTATTCAGGACTGACAGTTCTCAGAAGTCCTTTTTTAGTTCAAACCATGAAGCCATGAGAACTCCATCTGTAATTTGAAAAGGATCATGATGCCTTACATATTGCCTACATTAATCAAAAGCATCTGAGGTATGATTTTTTTTTTTAATGAGTGTAAATAAGACTGGTGCAAAAAAACCACATACACACTTTAACGTTAGTTCCATCCAGGGCTACTTCAGCGTATCTAAAGTTGATTAGGAATACATTTAAATTGAACAACAATAAACTATTTCTAATTTGGAAAAAAAAAGTTCACAATAATATGTAGCATTTTGATTACATCAGTGCACAATTGTGTATTGGAAAGTCTCAAAGAATCAGTGTGCTATAGCAAACTGTTTACTGGTAGAGAGGACAGAAACTTGCCCATTCTTATAAATTAACTCAACGAGGCAGCCTATTCCAAGACTTAATTCTTGGATAACCATGGGGCATACTTTTGTCTGTGTTGAACAGCCACAAAGACAGACAATACAGGTACACAGCAACCTCTTCTGTAGGATGTTGCTCCTGCATCACTCTCAAAAGTGAGGGCAAAACCTGGAAGCAGGGTAATGATCCAGTGTGGCCTGGCTGGCCTAGAAACAATGTGGAGTAGGACACAAACCCCTTCAGTTGTGTCTGCTGTGAGCAGCCCTAATAGTCAGCCCATGTTATGTGAACCCACCGGTACGCTGCTAGTAGCACCTGTAACTATGGAAGCCAGGCTGGAAGCCAGGCATGGAGACGTGCAGGGTCTGTCCTCTGTTGCATGCATCTGATTTATTTAATGCAAATGAGCACATGGGATATGTCACTTTGTGATCCCAAATGAAGCGGTGTGTTTCCAACTTAAGTCCAGAGAGAAGTCTATCGATGCTCCTGCAGCTGGAAAGAAGAAACCTCAGAAACACGTTTTCAAAGCTGACATCCATCTGGAAGATGCCCTGTGACTTTTCCAGTTATCTCCCTGCAGGCGCTGTCCTTAGTCTGGATCTGACAGAACGTTTTGTTCAGTCACCAAGCACAAGACCACGGCAATGTAAGCGTGAGACCTTTAAAACCTTTTTGTGTCTATCGCACGGACTAAAGGCAGAAACGAATCAGAAGAACCACTCTGGACGCCCAGAGCGTCTGGAGGCGGGAAGGGAGGCGGGAAGCAGCACTGAAGAAGAAGGACACCGCCGCCGCTCCCCCCGCCCGGCCTTTCGCCGCTCTCCGCGGCTCCCCCTCCGCCACCGGGGATCACCCAGCACCGCGGCCTCCGTCACCCGTGGTCCGGGCCCCCCCCTCACCGTGAGGGGAGCCGCTCCCGCCAACAGACACCGGCCACTGAGGAGGCGGGGCCAAGGCGAAGTGCCCGCCCCTGGGCTCTCCCATACCGCCTCCGGGGGGGGGGGGCGCGGCGGGTGAGCGGGAGGGGCAGCGCGCTCGGCGCGGCCGTTAAAAGCGTTCCCGCCTCACCGCGCGCCCAGTCAGAGGGGCGGCCGCGCCGGGAGCGGGAATCGGCGATGCTGGAGAATGGGTCCCTGAGGAACTGCTGCGACCCGGGCGGGAGAGCCCGCTTCGGCTTGGCGGAGCGCGGGGAGGAGGAGGCGGCGGGGGGAGCCCCGCGGCCAGCCTGGGTGGTGACGGCGCTCTCCAGCGTGCTGATCTTCACCACCGTGGTGGACATCTTGGGCAACCTGCTGGTCATCGTCTCCGTCTTCAAGAACCGCAAGCTCCGGAATGCAGGTAAGGGAGGGCCCGAGCTCCGCACCTGAGCGGTAAAGAGCGTTCTGAGCCCCGCTTCAGGAAGCGGGCCCGACCGGAGTGTGCCCCGCTGTGGGTGCGGGCCCTCCGAGCGCTCAGCACTTAGGGTACTTCCTAGCACGCTGCCCCTCTGCCCTGCGCCAGCTCTGAATGGGGAGTGCAGGTCGCTAATGGCTTTTAACGAGCCACCGGGAGTCTCTGTGGAGCTGATGAGGGGAATCTGTGCAACCCGGTAAGAGTCCCGGAGACAAAGAGCGCGGTCGGAGGAAGAAAGAAGGAACTTTAAAACTTACTTAAGGTACTTCTGAAGACGCTGTGATTGTGTGGGAAAGTGGCACAGCCCGCTTTTCATCGGAGTTTACGATAGTCTTTGGCAAAATTATCCTTACTCCTCAGCGAATATCCTTCAACCAGAAAGCAGCAAATAAAGGGGGTGTTTCTCTTGAACCGTGTCTTTAGTTTTATTTGTGTGCTGTAATGTGGCTCTAGGTTTTTCAGTTGCTAAACTTATTTGCTTTCCCTTCTCACCTTTGCTGGGCTGATTATACGTGTGTCAAACTACAAAACTCTGTAGTCAGCACCATCTTCTCGGATCTGCCTCCCTGCCAGCCTGTGCTCCGCTTGCCGGCTGTCCCGCTGCATGGGATGCTTTCCCCTGTCGCCCCGTCTCGCTGATACCGCTGGCTCTTATCTGATGCACGGAGCTCGGCGGGTGCTGCCCGCGTCCCCGCGCTCGGCTGGTGCTGGGTACCGCTGCAGTGTAATGTGCTATCCTCGAAATAGTGGTGTATCTACTAAGGTCCTCATAGCACCAAGCAGTTCCCGAAGCTGCTGCTGCTGCTTCCTGTCCTGAACGGGGTGCCAAACTTTGCTGAGAGATGAAAGTAATCTGAGGCACTACATCCCCTGAGCTTGAAGCTAGTGGGCTCCGAGTAGTACCGGCACAGCTCCGCACCCGAAGGCAGCGGGCTTCTTCCTCCCCAGAGGGGAGGGAGGAGAACTTGGCTTTCCCGGGTGATTCTTGTTTGTTTTGCGTTGGTTTGTTTTTGTGAGTGTGTGTGTGTAGCTTCCCGAGTGCTTTCGTGTTTCCCGCGCAGTGACTAGCTCCAGCTGACAGCAGAAGGAACTCGTTCGCCCTTGTTTTAAATTAAATCATACTTAGAAACAGGCAGTTTATAGAGGGATAGGACTTCCTCTCCCTAGTCATTACAAGCCTCATTGCACCCCAGGAATGCCGGCGGGTCACAAAACCGTGGGGGTGAGCGATCGCACCCCACGGAGGAGCTACCAGCTTGAGGGCAGCTACAGGTGGGATCTGGGGAGAAACGGGAAAGGAGCGGTAAGGGGCACAGTCCTCTGGCTCGTGCATGCGCTGCACGTTCCAGGGACCAAGGCGTTAGCGAGAGCAGCAGAGCCCTACACGGGTCGGTAAAGCCTTTCTCGGTTCGAGCTGGGGAAGGCAGCACGCCCGGGAGCCGGAGCCCTCAGCTCCGCCGGGCACAGCGGGATGGGGGGGACCTCCGTCTCTCGGGACCCATGTGGGTTATCAGACCCCCCCCCCCCGTAGGGGGAAGGCGGGTTCCCGGAGGGGTTCGCTCCTGTGTTTCGGAGGCGAGCGCCTAGGGAACCGGCTCTCGCTGGAAAGCGCGATCAGCCTGAGGAACCAAATTCCGCCCAGGAGGAAAGGGAGGCGGAGTGCGGTTCTTACCTGAGCCGTTTCCTTGGTTCAAACGGCAGAAGAGGGGAGAATTTGGACGGGAAGAGTTATGCCTCGAAGTGTATGTTTCAGGATGCAGATCAAAGCGCTCTGTGGCGTCCTAACGCTGTTGAAATAACACGTGATGGTCTTGCCTAATTGAAATATCTATTAATTGATCTGGTAAGAGCATCCTTAATGTGCTGTCACTGACCCTAGGATCTCTTCATCTTTAATAAGGACCGTGAAGAATAGTAGGGAGTCCCTTCTGAATAGTCTTCCTAAACTTAAATACTATTTAAATTGCCAGTTCATATTTTTGCATCAGGGAGAGATGGCTCTTGGGGATGAAGCTTGAAAGGATAGTTTGGTAAATGTCCACAGAAGTATTTTTCATAAGAAAATTTCATAAGAAGGGAGCAGAGTGGAAGAGAAATACAGACTGATGTGGATGGAGTGAAGGAGGGAATAGGGAGGTGGGGGGGAGCCAAGGTAGTATTTGGGAGCCCTTAGCCTCTGATAAGGATAAAGAGGATGGACAGGGAGGTTGACTTACAGGGATCCTTTTCTGAGCAAACCAGAAACAACATGTTTGTACTCATAGGAGGAGTGGATGTGGTGGAAAGTGAAATAATGAGGAACTATGGCATGAAAGGAGCGAGACTTCTAATAAGGGGTGTCAGAGAGGAACAAGATGAAGCTAGTGGAATGGTTGTGACAAGGTCCAGATGACCAAAGAAAAAAGGAAAAGCTATAGCACCACGAACACTCAGTTCTCCTTGAAGAAGCTAATGAGAGATTTTTTTGGATGAGAGTTTGGGACTTCAAATAAGCCACAGGTGTGCAGGGAATAAATTAAGCAGGTCTGCCCACTTCTCTAGTACAAACAGTAATTTTCCCTTAAGAAAGCACAACAGGGCTTTCTTTGCATGTTTCCAGGATTTATCAACACTATTCTGAGCTAAGCTTTACAGAGAAATCTGATAATTGCAAACAATGTAATTATGCATCACTCTCCTTAAATTAAAGCATGATCAGAAGTAAATGTATTTTAATGCTGTTATATAATGAGAGACACAAGAATGGAGTGAAATAAAATAACCCATTAGCCTTTATGCTGGTAACTATTAAGCCCAGCAGAAGAGAAATGGAGAATTGGTAGGATTAGTGCTTTTAAAGATTGCTCATTCACTCCTCAAACAGTGGGAATTTTGCCAGCCTTCCAATGGAAGGATTGTTTCATAGCATACAGAAGCCTCTTTCCCACGTCTAAATTTGTTTTTGGAGGGGGAAGGGAAGATTTGTGAAGGTTCTTCCAAGTAATGCATAGCCTAATTGGTATGAATCAACATGCTTGTCCTCTTGCACAACTGCACCCAGTCTTTCTGTGAGAGGCTGAGCAATTTTCTGATCTCTAAAAAGGATTCAGTTTACAGAAATTAATGATTTCATAATTTCTATTCTGGGAGGTGAGTAACTTTGTCCAGCACACTATAAAATTAAATAAAGCTTTATATATCTAAATGGTAAAATAAATTATCCTGTCTTTCTATTTAAAATGTCAAATGTGGTATGAATTTTCCAAAGCAACTATTGATTTTGGGTGTCTTCAAATGAGTATGCCTGGTTGAAGACAGCTTTTAAAGTGCTAAACTTTTGAAGTGCTGAAGTTTACATGTACTCAACAACCACTATTGGATGACCAAGCATCCTGAATGTGCATCAAGTCAATCAAAACCACTAGATGCTTTTAAGGTTTTTCAGGATACATTTGTATAGCCATAGCTATAAGCATAACATTATGGGCTGGGGTAAGAACTAGGTAGGACACATTTCAGAAGGTGGGGCATCTCCCACAAGTGAGAGATAAAGGAAACTATTTGTATTTCATTTGCCTTAAAGCCAGCATAAAATCAGGTGAGAGGTGAGAATTAGTCACGTAAACTCAATATAATTTTAAAGACCAGTGAGGACTTTAGTCAGAAGGCTTAATGTTAACTTTTGTGCACTGCCAAAGAATCCAGAAAGTGATCTTTTTAGTGCATTGCACAACACTTTTCACTCTATCCACTATTTTCCTTTCTATGTATAACAGCTAACACAGCAGGATGAGACCCTGATTTCCATTGGCAATGTGCTGTTGCAACACAAAATACGTCAAAATTCATGGTTTTGGTTGTTTTCTGTTTACCTGTAAGAACGTGGCTGTGTTTCGTGTTTGCTTCTATCTAATTTGAGCGTGGCTATAGAGATGGACAATACTTCTCATATGTACATCTGTACAACACAAAACATTCCTGCTCATAGAATTGTAACAAAGTATTTGTCTGTCTCCTAAATAAACATGTTGGGCAATATAACCACGTCTAGTAGCCTTTTTCCATGCCATAACCTTTACTCCATATGTCTGTAATATAGGTAATGGTATGTTTTCTCCATTGCTATACTCTGGTTTCACTTATTCTTCATCTCCTTGGCCACATCAGTTCTCTTTCTCCTTTATTCCTCCCCTATTATTCCTGTCCACTGGGATAGAGGACAGCTGTCTCCTTGGATGGAATTCTTCGCTTAGAACACTACAGTGGAGATGCCTGTTTCTGAGCTTCTTCCCTTGGGCTCCCGTTATAATCAATTGAGAAAAATAAGCATTTTCAGGAAGTAGTTAATCTAACTTACTTTTGACATCTACTTTAGGATGACATGATTCAATCCATGAAAGTGTTTATTCCTCTTCAGTAAAAACAAGGAGAATCAAGAGGGACTACCTCAGCATAGTCACCTGTGTTTGGGTGAGAAGAAGTCAACATATGAAGTCAGAATTATGTCATTCTTCCAGTAACATGTCAACTTGCATTTTTATGTGTACATATTTTCCTCCACCTCACAGACTGTCTTCCTACTGATCATATTGATCCAAATAAGACTGAGAGAAAAAGAAAAATCATTACTGACACAACTAAAATGTTCAATATGCTTCGTGGGTCTGGAAACCACTCAATGTGGTTGTCTTTTAATATCAGTAGTGGTGCTGACAAGAATATATTTTGAGGAGCAGAGCATGAGATCCCACTGTTATGGTTTCAGCTTTTGTACTCCTGACTTCTTGAACCGTGGATCTGCGGAATTCGCAGCCCTGGGATTGTGTGTTTGGCCTTCATGTTCTCTCTCATGTTCAGGATTGAGCCTTGAAGCTGCTTAGTATCAAGAAATGGAACATGGGAATATTACTTCAGCATTCACAAAAGTTCATTGAACTTCGCTTAAAATAAAGCTCTCCTATACTTTT